TAGCTCTTCTCTCTTTGAAATCTCAAATTAGTTCCGATCCTTTTCATTACTTGGATGAAAGTTGGTCTCCTACTATTTATGTTTGTCATTGGGTAGGAGTCACTTGTGACTACCGTCACCAAAGAGTGAAGTCCTTGAATCTTTCCGACATGGCTCTTACCGGTAGGATTCCTCGTGATTTTGGAAACCTCACATTTCTTGTTTCTCTTGATTTGGGAAGTAACAATTTCCATGGAAATTTGCCTCAAGAAATGGTACGCTTACGTCGGCTTAAGTTTCTTAAGTTAAGTTTCAACAAATTCAGAGGGGAAATTCCTTCTTGGTTTGGGTTTTTAAAACAACTTCAAGTTTTAAATCTTAGGACTAACAGTTTCACTGGTTTCATTCCCCCATCACTCTCGAATGCCTCAAGGTTGGAGACTTTACAAATATCTGCCAATTTACTTGAAGGGAACATCCCGGAAGAGATTGGCAATCTTCACAACCTGAAATACTTGTCCATACAACATAATCAGCTTACGGGTTCTATACCATTCACAATTTTCAATATTTCTAAAATTGAAGTCATTGCATTTACAAACAATAGCTTATCAGGAAATCTTCCCAATGGTTTATGCAATGGTCTCCCGATACTCAAAGAGCTTTATCTATCAATAAACAAGCTTGATGGTCATTTGCCTACAAGCTTGTCAAATTGTTCACAACTTCAATTATTGTCTTTATCATATAATGATTTTGATGGACCAATACATAGTGAAATTGGAAGATTGAGTAACTTGCAGAAATTGTATCTTGGAGGTAACCATTTCACAGGTATGTTTTATCTTACTAGTTTCTGGACACGTGTGTGCTCATCTAAATTGACATAAATTGTTTCAAATTATCATTGTATTAAAAATAGATTTATAATTAAATTAAATGAATATCGTTCATTTTCAAACAAAAAATAGTTCAAATAATTGGAATCTACTCTTGGATACCAATAACAAATTAAAATATGATAGCACAGTATCTCTTCTCCAAATGAAATAAAAGATGATAATATTTAGTATAAACACAAATTAATATATGTATATTCTTATCTCATATGTTAATTACCTGCAAGACAAAGTTCAGAGAAAAGAAGAAAGATGAAAAATGAATAGGATTTGATAGCCACTTCATAGAGTTAATTAAAATAATATGAAGTCTACAATTTATAATCAATATTAATTTTATTTATTATTAAGGGATCATATCAAGTATTGAATCCTACCAAATTATTTTTTTCAAAAATGAGCTTAGAATACAGAAACATAGCATCAACAGAGTGACAACTTAAAATATGAAAGGGTATCAAAAGTTGAAACATTGAATTTGTTTTTCTTAAAATGAGACATAAGGATAAATATTTATATCACTATTTCTTCAGTGAATTAAAGAAGTTATTAATAATTTAATTATATGTTACTTTCTTCATTTCAAATTATTCATTGTGTTTCAATCTTGTACACCCCTTAAGAAAACATTGATAAAAAATGTAGTTTTATCTATTCTATTTTACACACCCCTTACAAAAAATAAACATAAATAAGACAAATATTCAAAAAAAGTAAATTACTAAAATTTAATTGTGTACATATTCAAAATGTTTAAATGGATTTATAAGACAAATATTTGAAGTATTTAAACTTTTTATTAGTTTATTAAGAATAGAATATTTTTAAAAATATCTATAAAATTTTAAACGATGTAACACATAATTATATTGAAAATTGCTCAAAGTGGTAATAATAAGGTGACTTATTTAGTATATAAATCTTTATATGTTAGTGTATATTGTATCCTACTATTTAAATTACTTTTATCATGATTAAAACTATTATCGCCAATATGACATGAGGTTTAACAATGCATTTTAAAATATATCTTGATTGCACTTAACCCATCATATATGCATACGATGCCAATAATAACATTTACAGAAAACAAAATGGTATAAATCCTTCTTACAAATATTTATCAGATCCTAATAATCGCAATTGAACTTGAAAAAAATCCTATTCAATTTATGTGTCAATTGTTAATCCAAATACAATATAATTTATATATTCTTATTATAAAGCTCTAGATCTTATTAAAATGAGAATTTCGAATCAAAACATAAGGACAAATTAAGATAATGAATGAATGTAGTCACGATTGTAATAGGGTGTACACCAGTTTATCCGAAGAGTAAAGTTGTATGGACTAACAGATGTTATTGGCATACTCCTATTAAAATATGCAGCGTATATAAAACTTCTCAAATGAAGGTCACCTTTTTCCTCATAGTACATGAAACTTCAGATGTTGTCCAAAAGAAAATTACAATATAATTAAAGTGTCAATTACAATAAATAGCAAAAGAAAATAGATATAATTATTGTATTACACAAATCTAAAAAAGTTGTCTAGATGATGGTATCGACAAATCACTCGAAGCAGATAATATCCTATTATAATTTACAATATGTAAGGCGAGATAAAAATATCTTTTTCGTAAATAAAGAATGAGAATTAGCCAAACTGTTACTACATATTTTGTCTAAATTATGAAACTAACTTTACCATCTTGTAAAATAATTGGATGGATAGTTGGCATTTACCTTCGAGTAATTTGACTGTCATATGAAATTTAGTTTTTCAACTTCCTTTATCCATTTGAGGAAAAGGAGTGGTATTTATACTATTTTATAGTAGTTCAATTGGAGAAGTCTAAATTGGTTAGACTAATTTAAATGTCCTATATTCATTTACAATGAATGTTGTGTGCATTGAATTTCATCTCTTAGAATTTTTCATGCTTTGACAAAAACGTAAAAATGTTTTGAGTAAAGTATGTGTTAGGGTTTTGCCTTGATTTTCTTTCCTTATTTGAAGTTAGTTTTTCCTAAAAGAAAAGACAAAACATTACCAAAAATGTATTTACTTTTCATGAAAGGAAAATATATTTTTCTTCCATATTTGGTTTATTCTTTCCTTAGAGGAAAAGTTTGGAGATCTATAAATTGAAGATCCTTATTCCCATAACACAACACAATTGTATCTACACTGTAGACGCTTAAGAGTTTAGTTTATGGGGAGATTTATTCTCTCAATAGTTTTAATATTTTTCTCTTATATTAGTTTTCATATTATGATGTTATATTTTTAGTATACGTTTTTGTTATCTGATTTATCAACTCTATGATTTGCAATTGTAAGCTTCCGCATGACGTCCTAATCACCTTGAAAACCTAACGGTACGAGTCATTCTCATTCACTTATCTTACATAATTCCATCATTAAATAATTTAATGCACATTGAATACTTTTAAAACTGATTTCATCTATATCTTATTAGTTATTAAAATATATATTTGGTTTTGTAAAAGAATAATAATAGAAATAGTGTTTTGAAGGGTAAAAAGGTATTTCAACTTTTCATTTTGATGTTCCCATTTTTAGTATGATATATATGATATGACGATGATATATATATATATATATATATATGAGATGAGATATGATTTGATGAATGCTAGTACTATTGTATCTAATTACCTTAGATCTTTTTTTATTACACATTAAATGCAGGGATAATTCCACAAGAAATCGGAAATCTTGTTAATTTGATGGAGTTAGGCGTGGAGAGAAACCAGATTACTGGCTCTATCCCGATCTCTGTATTCAATAGCTCATTACTGCAATCATTGTTACTGTGGGGCAACAATCTTAGTGGATTCGTACCACAGGAGATTGGCAACTTAACCAAGATGCAATTTTTATATCTTCATGAAAATAGGTTTACTGGTATGTATACATTCAAAGTGATAGCAATCTTAACTAGCCAATTTTTAGTTAAACTCATTCTTTCTTCAGGTGAAATACCCAAAGAGATAAGAAATCTCATTGAGATGGAGGAACTTGGTCTTGAGTTGAATAGTTTTAGTGGTTCACTTCCAATGGAGATCTTCAACATATCACGACTGAGAAGAATGGGTCTTTCAGCCAACAATCTATCAGGAACTCTACCACCAAACATAGGTTCTACCTTACCCAACATTGAAAGACTTTATCTGCATGGCTTAACCAATCTTGTTGGGACTATTCCTCATTCTATCTCCAATTGTTCAAAGATTACTAAACTAGATCTTTCAGGTAACAGACTCAGTGGCTTGATTCCCAATTCTCTTGGATATTTGACTCATCTACAATACCTAATCTTGCAGAGAAACAATTTAACCAGTGATTCATTTTTAAGCTTCCTCACTTCCTTAACCAATTGCAGAAGATTAACAGTTCTTTCTCTATCTTTCAACCCTCTAAATGGCATGCTTCCGGTCTCCGTAGGGAACTTCTCCAAATCTCTTGTAAAGTTTTATGCCGTTGCTTGCAAGATTAACGGCCAGATTCCAAATGAAGTTGGCAACTTAAGCAGCTTATTAGACCTTGATCTTTCTAATAATAACTTGATTGGATCAATTCCTACCTCAATTCGTAACTTGAGAAACCTTCAGCGCTTCAACTTGAACAACAACAAGCTTACGGGATTTATTGGAGATAATTTATGTAAATTGCAACATTTGGGAGATATTTCCTTGGGTCAAAATCAACTTTCAGGATCTCTTCCTAATTGTTTAGGGAATGTTACTTCCCTTAGATTGATACATCTTGATTCCAATAAATTGAGTTCCAATATACCACCAAGCTTGGGGAATCTTAAAGATCTAATAAAGCTTCACTTATCATCAAACAACATGGTTGGTTCTTTACCACCTGAAATTGGAAATCTAAAAGCTGTGACACATATGGATCTGTCAATGAATCAATTCTCAAATGGTATTCCTAGAGAAATTGGAGGATTGCAAAATTTGGAGTACCTTTCTTTGAGGCACAACAAGTTGCAAGGATCTATACCTGACTCAGTGAGCAACATGGTAAGTTTGGGATACCTAGACATTTCTAATAATAATATATCAGGAACCATTCCTATGTATATGGAGAAACTTCAAAACTTGAAGTATTTCAATGTTTCTGACAACAAATTGTATGGTGAAATACCCTCGGGGGGTCCTTTCAAGAACCTCTCGAGTCAGTTTTTCATCAACAATGAAGCATTGTGTGGTTTGTCAAGGTTTAGTGTCCCACCATGCCCCACTTCATCAAGGCATAGATCAAATAGGAAACAAATGCTACTCCTTTTTCTTTTGCTAGGAACTGCACTTGTATTTGTTCCTGTCTCCTTTGTGTTCCTATGGATAAGGTATAGAAGAGGTAAAAGATCTCCTCAACGAGCTGATTCATTGTCTATTGCAACAACAGAAAGAATTTCATACTATGAACTGCTCCAAGCAATTGATTCGCTTAGCGACAGTAATCTGATTGGTTCTGGAAGTTTTGGCTCTGTTTACAAAGGCGTTCTCAGGAGTGGGACTGCCATTGCAGTTAAAGTGTTCAATCTGCAACTGGAAGCGGCATTCAAGAGTTTTGATACAGAATGTGAATTTTTGCGTCGCCTTCGCCATAGGAATCTTGTGAAAGTCATCACTAGTTGTTCCAACCTTGATTTTAAGGCTTTAGTGCTCGAGTATATGCCTAATGGAAGTCTTGACAAGTATTTGTATTCACACAACTACTTCCTAGACATTAGGCAGAGACTAAGCATTATGATAGATGTAGCATGCGCGTTGGAATATCTTCATCATGGATGCTCCTCTCCGGTGATTCATTGTGACCTGAAGCCTAGTAACGTCTTGCTGGATGAGGATATGGTTGCCCACCTAAGTGACTTTGGTATTTCAAAACTGCTTGGTGAAGATGAGAGTGATTTATACACAAAAACCTTAGCAACATTTGGTTATATTGCACCGGGTACGTCTCTTTGTTTTTGCTAATTTAAACATTGATTTTTTGTCTTTTTTATTTCCAATCAAGAAAGTATATTGCATCTTTAAATTAATTGTTTGACTGTAGAGTATGGACTGGATGGACTGGTGTCAGTAAAATGTGATGTCTATAGTTACGGGATTATGTTGCTGGAAACATTTACTAGGAGAAAGCCTACTGAGTTTGAGGGAGATCTTAGCTTGAAGCAATGGGTGAGTTATTCACTCCCAGAGGCAGTAATGGACGTTATGGATGCCAACTTGGTTACACGAATGGATAATCGCTTACAAAAAGAGTTAGATATCGTGGCATCAATCATGAAAGTAGCATTAGATTGTTGTGCTGAATCTCCGACAATAAGGACAAACATGAAAGATGTTGTAGGGATGCTACAGAAGATCAAGATTCAACTTCTTGCATGCTGAGCATGTTCTCTGTATCTCTTGTTGTGAATCGATCACTTGTTTGTTTTATGGAAAGATAATGCTTTTTTTGTTTTGTTTTAGAACTTGATTTGTGCATGATTCTGTTTTCAGAAATGCTAGTTGGTTGCAAAATGGTAGAACAAGTAAATTGAATGACTAAAACTAAATCAATCCTCTTGAAAATCTTGAAGCAGAATGATCTTTTTGTAAATTGTTAAGAGGAATTATCTATATGAATAGAAATAGGCAAGTAATATAGTAAATGTTTTACATGGGAAACACCAAGAGGACATATAACATCAAGACAACAAACAAAAAGAGCAATGACAAAAAATGCTATGATCATAATGCCTACATGATTTTAAAAAAAACAGAAACAGCTCGATGCATGAGATATGGAGAAGGCTCTCATCCAAGGGTTGTAAATCGTAATGCAGGCAAACTACCTCCACGTAAACATCAATGACTGAATCCACAACTCGAAATCATGACCTATAGGTCCCACAGAGGCAACTTTACCCCCACAACTTGTTTTTTTTTTTTTCATATCTTTACCTCTTAAGTCTTGATTTCTTGATTTTCCACTTGTTGTTGCTCATTGCCCTGCCATGTCCAAACTATATCTTTTAATGAAGGCTTTAATCCTTGATCACAAAAGTTCCTGTATTCTGCAGTATCTCCTGATTTTTTTGTCACTTGTACAACATGGAAAGCTGGAGTAATCTCAAATATCTCTGCATCAATTGCTAATTGCCCTTTTCTCCCTTCTTTGCTTCCTTGCATTTTCACCGTCCCGTCTTTTTTCTTAACCTGTTGAAGACATAATAAAGTAAATAAAGGTTGTTCATTCTATAATACTAAACTTTTAGCTAATCAGATTAAACTTTTAGAACCTACATGCAAAGTCACATATAGGCTCAAGGGTGGTCAGATGAACATCTTTCACCGATATTATACTATGTATGGGTCATACGTACCTTAAAACTATCCATTGAAGCTACTTCCTCTAGCCTCGAGACAATAGTGGATGCAGACTTTTGTGTCGTGAATCTAGCATCCGACCTACGACTCTTATCTTTCTCGAACAAGCTAGAGAGATCAAAACCAGGAGAAAGAGAAATGATATCGAAAGCATTCAAACAAGTAGGCTTCGTTATTGTTGATGAAATCTGTTCTTTGTGTCTTGAAGAACACTCTGCATCCGAATCATCCACAATATCAAAAACACTACGAGGTGAATCATCATCGTGTTCTTGATCCAAAACTAGTGGTTTATCAATTTGTTTGAATCCTTTCTTGAACCAATTATTGTCCATTAGCTTAGCTAATGTGATTCTTGAAAATGGATTTGGATCAAGAATTCTTGAAAGTAGTTTTTTCACTTCATATGGAAAATATTCAGGGCATTTAAATATCCCTTTACTAATTTTCTTATACATTTCCATTAAATTTGTGTCATGAAATGGAAGATAACCAGCTAACAATACAAACAAAATCACCCCACATGACCAAATATCCGCCTTTTCGCCATCATATCCTCTCTTATTTATGACCTCTGGCGCGACATATGCTGGAGTTCCACATGTCGTGTGGAGGAGGCAATCTTGTCTTTTCGTATCGAAAAGAGCACTCAACCCAAAATCAGAAACCTTTAGGTTTCCAGTTTCATCCAGGAGTATATTTTCAGGTTTCAAGTCCCTATGATATACCCCTCGACTATGACAGAAATCAACGGACGCGATTAATTGTTGAAAGTATTTCCGCGCTGCTGATTCCCTAAGCCTCCCTTTAGCAACCTTATTGAATAATTCACCACCTCTAACATATTCCATTGCAAACTAAATTTTTGTTTTGCTAGCCATTACTTCATAAAGTTCAACAACATTTGGATGTCTAATTAATCTCATAACAGAAATTTCACGTTTGATTTGGTCAATTAGGCCAACTTTCATGACTTTTTATTTGTCAATTACCTTAACAGCTACATATTGTCCTGTTTTTAGGTTCCTTGCATGATATACTTTGGCAAATGTACCTTGGCCTAACAATTTACCAATCTCATATTTATGCATCAAAATTGTCCCTTTTTTCTCCGTTTTCGCGCTCTTCATGCTCATCATCCTGCAAGAGGATAGATGAGCATCCAAGCGTGCGAAGAAATTGAAATTATTGGCGAATCATTGTGTATTCGCCTAGTGATTTCCCCTGGCTAATCATAGGGGAAAATTAGCCAGGGTTAGAGGAGGTGTGTTTGTGTTGGGAGAAATTAAATCCAATGGAATGGAGAAAAATATATGGAATTTAAAGAATTGGTAAGTTGTGTATAAATTGGTTATTTTTGAAAACTAAAGAAAGATGGTTAAATTATGATATCAAGATTTTGAGTAGTTACTATATAACTAACAAATATAACTAACAAATAAAAATAGCAAAAGCCTATATATATTTGTACTTATATCCCGTCCAGTCCGTCTTATATGACACTATTTTCGTTTAGAAAATTGAATAATTCTTTCATATGTTTTTATTACAAGTATTTAAAATTATGTATAAGAAGTTACTCTATTTGTTTCGATTTGTATAGTGATATTTGATTGAGCACATAGTTTCAGTCTTTCAGAAGAAAAATATAAACTTTTGAAACTAATCTTAAATCCTGTCATGACATCTCGATAGCTATAAAATCATGTGTCACTAATTAGGGACCATTTCTTGATTAGTTCATGTCATTCCTTAGTGCAACATTTATATTCACTGTTAAAAAAGAAGAAGTGGAAATTGGTATTATCTCTTTGATAGAGGTGAATTTAGAATTTATGAATTCTGAGCTCTAAAGAAAGCAGTGTATTGAATAAGTGGATTTCTAACACAAAGACAGTTTGACTAAAACTATTAAATTTTGTTGAATCCTTATGTAATTAGAATTCTAGTTTTTCCCCTGCCTAACAAAAACAAGTAACTCCACCTCTCTTTAAATTTTTTCAATTCAAATTGCATACTAGTTCAAAAGTTTTTCTTACTTTTTAAAAATTTCGTATCTGATCAAATTCAAACTAAAACACATAAATAAAATAAAACAGATGGAGATGGAGTAATAAGAAGAAGAGAAGAAATAAACCAAAGATTTGGCATATGTACAACAAATTCAGTCGTGCATAATAATAACATAATGTATTCTATAGAGTTAATGATCAAACACATATTTAAATTATCTTCATCTTCTTCTTTTTTCGAGTTTTACATTCTAACAATTAATTAGTTGTTGTTTTTTTGCTACATGAATTACACTATCGATGTATTAAAACACACTTCAAAACTACTTCAACCAATCATCAAATGTTCTCTTGTCAACTATCACCATCTGTTTAACTATAGATGTGTTTTAATACCTAGATCGTGATAGTTCATATAGAAAAAAGAAAGCCGTTGACAACTAAAATATGAAACTCGAAAAAAAGGATAGATTTTGATCACTATCATATATAATAACAACACTAATAATCCCATAGCATATTTATCTCTAGCTTATTAATTACAAATATGTTCTTGTTCCCTCTTCTTTCCCCATTGTTGCAAACATAGCCTTATTCTCTTTGCTGCTGCTAAGTATTCCACACCTTGAATTGGTGTCAATATGCCCAATATCTCCTTTAGTGTCTTCATCCTCAACTCATCAACTTCTTCTAGTAAATTTGACATGTCCTCACCATGTTTATTTAAGGGCTCGATTTCATTCTCACCTGTTGCAAACATAATTAAATAAATAAAATATATTTTCTTAAATAAATAATTTAATTTTTTAAATAGTTATAACTCGTTTGGATCATATGGTTATTAGATATTGTTTCATAATATGTTATTATATTGTATTATATTATTTTGATGAATATAACTTCTAGATAGATTATATTATTTTTTATTGTTTCATAATCTCATGCACCAGCAATTTGAAGACTTAGCTTTTAGTATTACAAAGAAAAGGTAAAATATGAGATAAAAGTATTATCGTTTATAAAAAAGATAAAAAGTGAAATATGTTTATAAAATAACAAAGACAGGGAAAAAAAAGTAACGATGTGATCATATACGCTTATAATAAGATTATAATATTCATTTTGTCGTTTTTGTCATACTTTTTTAGTTTATTCCTAAAAGAATGTCATACTCCCTGATCTAGTCCACTTTACTTATCATGATTATATAATTTTTCCAAAATATTTGTCATTTTAAAAAATAAAAAATAGAATTAATTATTTGTCTCCACCCCTCTACATTCTTCTAATAAATATAAATATAAATGTACATATGGACAGAGATTAATATGATTTTTTTTAAAAAAAAGTAATATTAAATTGAAATTAAAAAAAATCCTAAACTTCATGTTCAATTAAACATCGATAAGTAAATTAATACGTCACGTACCTCGTTCAGTATCGTAAATTCTGGCCGCCATAGCAAACGGTTGATCAACAACATCTTCTTGCAAGCTAGCTAACCTTGAAGAAAATCTTCTCTCTTCTAAAATAATCTGTCTTTGTAACTTATCAATCATGGTAATTTGCTTACCAGAAAGCTGACCAAAGTCTCCAATTTTCATACCCTGTGTGTATGTCGATAAAATTAGTTCATAAAAATATAATTGATGTCTAACTCGATTATATTTGGACAGGATAACGATCCTTCCCTTTATCAACTCAATCTATTTTAACTCGAGTCATCTAAAAGTTTGTTATATAGACCACATTGACAAATGACAATCTTAATTAAAGTATTTAAAACAAGACTTCTTTTTCTTTCATAAGGCAAAACCCGTGGTCGTTATCCTTTTAAGTCCACATGCACCAAATAAATCTGATCATGTGCAATGAACTACAAATCGTAGGAGATGTAAACCGCATAAGGTCGTTGCGACGAACTCATATAAACCACAATAAACAACCTCAGTGTGACGAGCTCGACTGAGAAGGTATTGATGGAAAAAATGATCTTTGACATTACATATTTGATACATTATATAAAATCATAACAAAAAAGTATTAAATAATTAAAAAAACTATAAAATAACAATCAACAAAATTAAATGTGTAAAAGTTGGACGGATTGAACTATGATCTATTGTTTAGATCATTTATTTATTCTAAGCTCATTTCATCTTAAAAAACTTTTGACGAATCTAATAATCCGTTAATACATTCAAATTTAACTTAATATGTTTATTCAACATCCAACCTGTAGATATCCCGCGATATGAGACTCGATTTCGATTCCGCTTAGCGCATAAATCAGCCGTATAAACGAAGACGGCCTACACCCGCCTATCCACAAGACCGAATTTTCCAAAGGGGTGCACCAAGTGGGGGCGAAAAACGGCGATACGTCGATTCTCGCCAGTCGACTACGGCCGTTCGCGTATTCTTGGAAGTTGTTCACCATTTTCCTTAGCAACTCATTCAATTCGTCGTCGTTTAGCTCATTTTTTCGAGCAACGATGGCATTTTGTAGCTCTTTTAGTTCTTCTTGTTGATTGTTTATCCATGAATTGTATAAATCTTCTTCTTTTTTTCTATCAGAGCTTGAATTTGCCATTTTTGTTTTTTTTTTTTTTAAGAAACTCACTAGCAATACTATGAATTGAAATTTTTTGATGTATTTTTTTTTAATATATGGTGTGAATTAAATATTTTTATTTTATTTTTGAGACGCACCAAAAGTCTTGTACATTTGTTAGTTGGTATATTTTTTGGACATTTCGTGATTTAGGGAATGCAATGTGACGTAATTTTGTACTCATCTGTAGCCTATTTCGTGTTCACGCAAAATCGGGCTTATATGATATAGATGGACTATCTCAATACAAATATTAATAGTTATTTTTACGGCTCATGAATTTGAATAAATTCAATTAGTGGCTTATAAAGTTAGTTATTAAAATAAGTTATGAATTTAATGAAAAAAATCACATATTATAAATTTTCAATGTTAGACACCACCTCTCACTTTACAAGGATATTTGATGGATTTAAATTCAAAGACTTATTGCTAAATTTTCTATTCAAATTATTATAAATGAACATGAGTTTGTTTGGTGCGAAACAAAATAATTTCTATAAAAGTTATTTTTTAAAAGAAAAATAAGTGAATTTTTTTATTTTTTTTTGTATCGATACATAAATCTAAACAAAATGTATTTTATTAAAATTATTAGTATAATAATTTGATTAGATAAGTACTATGGGAGGCGAAGGTAGGGGTCATGGAAATAAAAGCTATGAAGATAGAAATAAAAATAAAGAATATGAAAGGATTAAAAGAATATAATCAATGTAAAATGTCAATTTACTTTTTCTAATTTCACTAAATCATTATTTTTATTAATTAACTAAAAAAATATAAAAAATAGAAAATATTTTTCGCCGTAACGAACAGACTATAAAGATCATATGCTAAGAGATAAAGTTCAAACGAGATAATCTCGACGTATTTGGCCTTCAAAATATTTTTTATATCTAATATAAATGGAATAAAAAAAATACTATAAGGTGTATTATAAAGACAATTCTTGGAACTCTAAATCATGCATGTGATTCATCATCTTTTAATTTGTCTTTCTTCTTTTTTTGGTTCTTGTTTGTATTATTACCCCCCACCCTAGTAATACTTATTTATTTTCTGATAAATATTTATTCAGAATATACAGATATTTTAGGAACTGTTTTTGAAAGTTAAAAGCATAATATATAAAAATATTTTTTTAATTTAATTTTAACTAGTATTTATGTTATTCAATTTTGAATGTGCACAAGTAGATATTTAAATTAGTATATTATTGAACAAGTAGAGATATTTATCCTACATGACAATTTGTGTCCTACATGACATTTTATGTTTATTATGTCATATGGAATGTGCGTATGTGAGTACGTTTACTTATTCAATTGTATACAAATTTAAGTATTTACTTATGTACATTTAATATTAGGCATAAATCTTTACATGTAGTAGTAATAATACTCTAAAGTTTTAAATTACAAATTTTAGACACTTGACATGTAATAGTAAAGTTTTAAACACAAATTTTAGACACTTGACATGTAATAATAGTAATTATACTCTAAAGTTTAAAATAATAAATTTTAGACACAGTTTGAAAGTTTATATCTTTAGAAAACTTGTGGCTTAGAATAAATTACAGACATATGTATGATTAATAGTTATTTTTTAAAGATAAAAGAAATTTTAAAAATTAAATTATTTTTTATTATAGAAATATTATTTTTTTTCTAGATAAATTAAAGGAAAGTTTTTCAAATGTTTGCAAATAAAGAAAAAAGTTTATGATAGAAAACGCTTTATTTATTGGAGTGAGATTTTTAAATGCGAATCTTATTAACTTGAGTCGTAAATGAATAAAAAATAAAACAATACAAAAAGTTGTCAATGACGTCCATCTCCCTACTAAAGTGGAAATGTTCTTTGTTTGTTGAAAAGAGAAAACATAAATAATGATGTATCCTTAACCCTTTTTTTCTTATTGTGCATCATTTTTAATTATTTCTTAAACATAAAAGAATAAATTGAAAGAATCCAAAGCGATGGAAAATATTGTATAATCATCACAATAAGAAATAGAAATTTGGAGCCCCCATCTCTAGAAACGAGTTCTCTAAATAATGAATTCAGATTTAATCAAATTTTAAAATAAATATCATTAACATTAAAAATAATATTTTTTTAAAAAACTCTTCACGTGGCTACTCATTTTCAATGTAGTAGTAGTAGTAGGATTTTGTCTTTCTTATGATAAAATAAAGGGAAAATACAAATTGCCAACTTCTATGGAAAAAAAGCACAAAAAGCCAAAAATATGAGTATAATACCATGTTCTTCAAAATTGTTAAAAGTATTATATATATACTTTTCATGAAAACATAAATAATTAAAATGATAGAAGAAATTGATACTTTTAGTTTAATTTAATATGATGCGTAAAATCTTATCTGCCCTTGATATATGAACAATAAACCGTATATATATGTTTTCAATTTTTCCGCTTTTATCCTTATCTTATAGGTACAGTTATAGTTCCTATAGAATCTATCATTTAAATACTCTTAAAAGAGAGGAATAAGGATAAACATTATTGAAAAAGGTTTTTTATGAGATAGAAATGGAAACTTATTTTTCCACATGAAATTTGTGAATAAGTGATCGTCTGATAATGAGGTATGTTTTCTCACATGAATCTTTTGTTCTAGTTAGTGGGAATTCCATTTTCGCACCAACACAAGATATACTTAATGAACTTTATGTATTAACGAGCATAAACGAAGTGTTTGAGAGTAAACATTACATAGAATTCAAAATAATTTTTGGTTTTCGAAAAAACATAAAGTGAAAGGAAAGAAAAACATCTACCTTAACAACGAACAGTAATTGAATAAAAATAACAAATCTCATAGTGTAAAACAAAAAAAAAAGAGATTTTAGACTATCAATGTATATAACTTAAATTCAGATAAATATAAAGTCATTAGAGAGTAAAATAAAAAAATTATGCAGAAGAAATACACAAAGATGAGAGACACAAACACACACATTCTTGATCATAAAAGGGCATAGACCACAAAATATCCCACAAATGAAAATGAAGAAATGCCATTCTTGGCAAAGACAAAATAATAATAAAAGAATAAACCAATAATATACGACAACTATGCCTCAATTCCGAACAAGACGGATCGGGTATATGAATCCCCATTGTTCATGTCACTCAAATAATAAAAGAATAAACCAATGTACGACGTCAATTACGCCTGAATACCAAACATGCTGATTTCAGCTATATTCAATAGTCACAATTCTTGTCAACTTAAATGATAAAAGAATAAACCAATATAGATCATAAATATATGTAGAGGATAGTTAGATACAAGAGAAATGACGTATTTCCGTATTCATACGTAGTAAAACAACACGTACGTACTCAAACTTACAACGTAGACGGACAAATTAAGCTGGATCACGCTGCCTCGCTGGATAACAACTCGAGTTCAGCCCACCACAGAGGAGAAAGCCTTGGAACTGCAGCATTTGGTGATACATCAATTGCTTCCCTTAATTTATCAATGGATTCTTTGATAGTTGGTCTCTTCCTTGGATCTTCTTGAAGGCATTGTTCAATTACTTCACAAATAACCATAAGCTCATTATTCTTGAAAGACTTCAATGATGGATCAACCAGAGGGGCGATATTCTGCTTGTCGTGACGAAAATATTGTGCCGCCTGAAAACAGCCATGGTTATGATGTTAATAAATTGTATAAGGAAGTTTGACGGATCAGTTCTATCCAGAGGCAAATTCAGGATTCATTGTCAGCGAGTTCAGAATGAGCCTAATTTATACACACACATGAGCATAAAGTTGTTGGCTATGTTGCTCTGACTATCCAAAAATGTTGTCGCGGCTCATGTTGGATCCTCCAAAAATGCACTACTTTCGGAGGATCCGACACGCACCTAGTAGCATATTTGAAGAGTCCGACCAACATAGGTTTCTGATAGATGTACTTATGGTTCAAGATGAAAGAAGTTGCCTGTCTGTGGGAGCAAAATGAGCCTAATTAATACACGCACACAAGCACAAAGTTTTCAGCTATGTTACTGACTCTAAAAATATAGACACACCCGTGCTAAATCCTCCAAAAATGCACTACTTTTGGAGGATCCGACACGCACCTAGTAGCATTTTTTAGGAGTCTGAGCAACATAGATTTTTGGCATATGTGCTTATGGTTTGAGATGAAAGCAATTTTCTGTCAGTAGGTACAGAATGAACCTAATTAATACATGCACACAAGCATAAACCTTCTGGCAATGTAGCTCAGACTCTCTAAAAATATTGACGCACCCGTGCCAGATCCTCCAAAAATGCGTGCATTTTTGGAAGATCCAACCTGACAACATTTTTTATGAGTCTAGAGAAATAGGTTTTTGGAATATGTACTTATGGTTCAAGATGAAAGCAATTTCCTGTCAGTGGGTACAAAATGAGCTTAATTAATAGACACACACAAGCATACAGTTTCCGGCTACAACAATGGGTTCAGATGAACCCCTTCAACCATCTCTAGATCCGCCTCTGGATCTAGCCAGACACAACAATTGCAGCCTAGGGATCAGAACATTAAGTTCAATACATATGAAAATAAGGATAAAGGATATTTACCCAGTTTAGAAGAGACTCTTTTTCTTCTGAATAAGGTGATTTGCCAGAAATTATTTCTATTAAAAGAATTCCAAGGCTATAGACATTAGTCTCGTGATCAGCAAGCGGTGGCAGCACGGAATTCTCTAAATCATCGCTAGAGGACTTCGACTTGGCTGTTAGTTCTGACCAGAAATCAATCTCTGTAATCTGTTAAAAAAAAGTACTCAGTCGTCAGTAAAAGTTTCTTGTTGACATATTTTGGGATATATAGCCATGTGAAACAGACCTTAGCAGCATAATCATCAGTCAAAAATATGGATTTAGAATTCAAGTTGCAATGTGGCACTGGGGGGTTTAATTCATGCATGTATTGAAGACA